AGGGGAAGCAAATGCAAATATTTCTTTTATACAGCAGGCAGGCAGAAGCAGCCATCCCTTGATAACAAGTGCAGAGTCTCTCGCCTCTCCAGGTTCTTCTTCCTGAAGAAGCTCCTTTATGAAGGCTCTTGGAGCTGGAAGTGGTCTGCAAGCTTACAAAACCTTACCTTTTTAGTCCAAGGGCCGCAGCCCCTTCTGGGCACACTTTCAGGGGCTGTATGCCAATGGTGGGTGGAGTCTGAGGTCAAAGTGGGTGGAGAAACAACTGTAAATGTTTACCTTTGTACCTAGGCTAGTTTCCATGCCTCTGTCCAGGCAAGCAAGGATCACGGTCAGATCAAGGACACATTCCAGCCAGGCTAAAACACTCAAAGTGTATGTGAAGCAAGAACAGGGAAGAGTGTAGCCTGGGGAGAGTTCTGAAGGCCACATTTGTATGTGGGCCTGAGGTTCCCCTATCGTAAATGCAGTATTTTGCAGCTACCTGTTCCATCTGTACCTTGGATACAAATGCCAGTGTGGTGTGGTGGTTAAGAGGAATAGACTCGTAATCTGGGGAACCGGGTTCGCTTCCCTGCTCCTCCGCATACAACTGCTGGGTGACCTTGGGCTAGTCACACTTCTTTGAAGTCTCTCAGCCCCACTCACCTCACAGAGTGTTTGTTGTGGGGGAGGAAGGGAAAGGAGAATGTTAGCCGCTTTGAGACTCCTTCGGATAGTGATAAAGCGGGATATCAAATCCAAACTCCTCCTCCTCCTCCTCCTCCTTCTTCTTGCATTTCCTTGCAGCGGGCACTGTTGTGATGTAGTATCAGGATGGCAAGGACTTTCTCGGCCGCAAAAGGCCCCTCTTTTTGCATTGGGGAAAATTCCACCTTCTTGCAAAAGGGGCCTTCCTTTCCTGCCTTCCCCCCAACATTGATTGGGGAAGGGGGGGGAGGTTGGATTTCTCCATACAGCTGAGTAATGAGCTTGCGCAGCTATTGCACCGAGAGAACCATCTGGACAGGCCCCAAGAACAAGCCGTTTTTCTCCTTCTCGGCGAGGCTGCCAGGTTGAAATTTCCTTCCCCAAATGTATTCCCCCCGCTTGCGCTCTCCCTCCCCTTGAAACAAAGAGCTCCTTTAGTCGGAGGCCAGCCCTTCTGTTCTGTTTGATGGCGAGGTCCCCGCAGAGCTGTAACAAGCTTATGGGCTTTGCTGCTGGAATTTGGTCCCGAGCGCAGATACATCTTCCTGAATTCCATTATGTGCTCAAGGTGGCTTTGAGTTGGCTCTGCGGATATCCCCCTGGGCCAAGGAGAGAATGTGGACAGGAAAGCAATCTTCCCGTGCGCCCCCCCCCGAGGGGTGGGGTGGGGGGAGAGATGAAAGCCCTTCTGACTCGCTTGGGGGCTTCCTGGCAAACTAATCTTCATAGCCCTTTGTGTAAAAGAAGACCCGAGCCGCCGCACGTGGAGACGGGTGATGCAGCAGATAAGCTACAGATGCTGGGCTCAGTGTGGAGATGAGGCAGGCAGCCTGACCTGTTTAGTTTGCTGGTTGCATCTAGCCAGAGATCATCCTGTGCTGGTTTGCAGGGACTTCATCCATAGTCACATGTGGTTCATGGAATCCTAGAATTGCAGAGTTGGAAGGGGCATCTAGTCCAAATCCCTGAAATGCAGAAATCACAGGTAAAGAATCCCTGCTTAGAAGAAGTCCTAGAGAGCGAGCTGGGTTGGTCCGTTGCAGCAAAACCCAACCTGGGATCGTGTGGCACCTTGAAGGCTAACATGATGGCATGTTAGGTTTTTTAGACTTGAGCCCATTCTGCCAGGTGCTAGAAATGTTATCCACAAATATAAAGCAGGGCTGGGTGGATCTGATAGTTTTAGTTTCTCTCCGTTTGTCGTTCTTCCAATCTTCAATTTGGTTATCCACATTTCTGCATTAATTTGTACTTTTTTAAAAAAACCTCCGTGAAAATTCATTAGTGAATTTTTCTAATATACAGTGGTACCTCAGGTTACATAGGCTTCAGGTTACAGACTCCGCTAACCCAGAAATAGTGCTTCAGGTTAAGAACTTTGCTTCAGGATGAGAACAGAAATCGTGCTGCAGTGGTGCAGCGGCAGCAGGAGGCCCCATTAGCTAAAGTGGTGCTTCAGGTTAAGAACAGTTTCAGGTTAAGAACAGACCTCCGGAACGAATTAAGTACTAAACCCGAGGTACCACTGTACACAGGATAAAGCCTTCTCACCTGTGCACATCAAGCAAGCCTCTGTAAAATACTCAGCAGGGCTTCCACTGCAGATTTTCATAACTGGACAGCTTTGTAACGAAACAGAAGGTCCTTCAAATAGCCTGGCCTCAAGCCTTTTGGGGCTCCAAGAGTTAAAACAAATGTAGCCCAGGTGGATAACATTCAGTAACCAGGGGTGTATTGAAAGATCAAGTGATGGGTTCCTGCTCCTATGGACATGTAAGCAGCCTAGCTGCTGACTTTGCAGCGACTGCAGCTACCAGATGCTCTTTGAGGGTAGCCACACATAGAGCTCCAGATCACCAATGCATTGAGCATATATCCTGATTGGCTGGCACAAAGCTTAGGGAAAAGTTAGATTATGCCCTGACTTTACTGAGCACCAGTTCTTATTAGTTTGCAGGGACATTATATGACTACGAATATTCATTCTGATTTGCTTGCACAATATTTATGCCCCCAATATTTGTTCAGCCCCCCAATTTTCAGAGCATTTTGCCGTCACCTTTCTAACTACAAAAAGTTGATTTCTTTTAAAAAGTGGGTTTCTTGTGCTCGGTTGATGGAGTGCTTGAATCCACTTTAATTGTGCAAGTCTGAATGCTGACTATTTTGAAGTGACCTGGATGTGATGTGGCTGAGACCTTTTATAGATGACCTGCCTGTTGAGTATTCATCCTGATTTGTTGGCAGGGAGGCAGAACGATGTTGCACTTTCCCATTTTCACATCAAGCTCCTTATCTGGAAAAGTCGGTTGGGTTGGGAGAACAAGAGTTTCAAGCCAACTTTAATTGTGCAACCTGAATTTTCTGGGATGTGATTGGAGCCTACCTACAAATAGTAACAGATTATTATTATTGTTATTGTCATTATTAATTACTTTATGCTCCACCTTTTCCCCTGAACCTAAGGCAGCTTACAAATATAATAGGAGCAGCTAAAAACATAGGAAGCAAACAAACAAGCAACCATTAAAAAGAATTAAACATTAATAGAATTCGTATCTAAAATGTATTCAAATGTCACCATCTTTCATCTTTTCATATTTTTAAATGTTAAATTTGCAGACAAAAAATTATCATCACCATCGGGTGAAAGGGTGCAGCTTGCACCCTAAGGATTGCAGCCAACCAAGTTTTATTCAGAGTAGACCCAGTGAAATTAATGGAACCAAGTTAGTCATACCCATTCATTTCAGTAGGCAACAACTCCTGGGTGCAACAGCTGTTAGATACAATCCTGAATGTATTCCTGCAAACATGCTTAATTCTTCCATCACTGGGGAGTCTAGGAGTACCAGAGGGTCAAAGATACACTCTTCAGCTAGGAGCATAAGCTTTCACTGGGAGTGCAACCCCTTCCAGAACAGATAGTATCCCAGTTCCTGAGCCAGATTTTCCAGTGACCAACAGCATGTGGTGTGCTGAGTGGGGGAGCAAAGCAAGTCTTTAATGTCTGATCCATCTGGCTCCCTGAAGCTTCTGCAGAGAGCTTTGTGTGGAAATAAAGGAGTTGGGGAGAAGTTTCTGGTACTTTGGAGACTGACCTTTCCAAACATAAGAGCATCAACTTTGAACCTTTTTTTTTTGTTTGCCAAGGGGAAGAAAGCAGTGGAGTATACTCCTGTATTGTTTTTCTTCTCAAAAATACAGACATTTTTGACCTCTGGACCTTGAACTGGGCCACAGATCCCCCTTGTTGCTCACACAAGGTGAGATGTTCCAGGTACCAGGGTGCAGCTTATTGGAAGATGTGGAGCAGCAGCCCAGGCTACCATGGTGAAAGGTCAGGGCACTTTTTGTGCCCAGATGCGGGTGGCACTGTGGGTTAAACCACAGAGCCTAGGGCTTGCCAATCAGAAGGTCGGCGGTTCGAATCCCCGCAATGGGGTGAGCTCCCGTTGCTCGGTCCCTGCTCCTGCCAACCTAGCAGTTCGAAAGCACTTCAAAGTGCAAGTAGATAAATAGGTACCGCTCCGGTGGGAAGGTAAACGGCGTTTCCGTGTGCTGCTCTGGTTTGCCAGAAGTGGCTTAGTCATGCTGGCCATATGACCCGGAAGCTGTACGCCGGCTCCCTCGGCCAATAAACTGAGATGAGCGCCGCAACCCCAGAGTCGGTCACGATTGGACCTAATGTTCAGGGGTCCCTTTACCTTTACATTCTGCATGCATGCCTGTGCCCTGCCCTGATTTGTGTGAGCAGAGGTTACTCATCCTCCCATCATTTGATCACCATTCCATGCTTTCCAATGCCTTTCCCCTCCAACGTTTGTAACTGCAAAAATCCTCTGCACCCCCCCAAGAGGAATGCTTGTTCCAGGGTGATAGAATGCTTCAATCTGCTTTTAATTGCAAGCCTAAATTTCTGACACGAGCTCACACCCTCTGCAAAATGCAGACTCTCTGGCGGTAACTGAAGTGTGAAAGCTGGCGATCGTATTAGTTTGGTTGGTATGAATCAGAATTCACCAAGTTCAAGTTCCTTAGGCACCCGTACTAAAGAAAAACTAGACCTTAGCAGTTCCCTTTTCTTTGAGACAAACGTATCCTCACAATGGATTGTCTGATTCCATAGAATAGCTGCCATATTAATTTTTTTCTGAATGAAGAGGTGGAGTGTGTTTGCGTGTGAAAACGAAGCAGGGTACTTATCTCCAGTCTTAGCACACCAGAAATAGACAAGATTCCAAGGAGAAGGTAGAAGAAACAATGTCACATGAATAACTTGCAGCCCTTTGGGACAAAAGTAAGAGAGCTGGGATAGCTCAGTCGGTAGAGCACAAGACTCGTAATCTCAGGGTCACGGGTTCAAGCCTCACGTTCGAGAAAAAGATTCCTTGCATTACAGGGGTTAGACTAGATGACCCTTGTGCTCCCTTTCAACTCTACAATTCTATGATTCTAGACACCTTTCTACTTCTCCATACTGGGACAATCCTGAGTCAACCTCAATATCACTGTAAGTGTTCCCCCCACCCCATTAGTTAAAGGTAAAGGGACCCCTGACCATTAGATCCAGTCGTGGCCGACTCTGGGGTTGCGGCGCTCATCTCACTTTATTGGCCAAGGGAGCCGGCATACAGCTTCCAGGTCATGTGGCCAGCATGACTAAGCCGCTTCTGGTGAACCAGAGCAGCGCACGGAAATGCCGTTTAGCTTCCCACTGGAGCAGTACTTATTTATCTACTTGCACTTTGACGTGCTTTTGAACTGCTAGGTTGGCAGGAGCAGGGACCAAGCAACGGGAGCTCACCCCGTTGCGGGGATTCGAACCACCGACCTTCTGATCGGCAAGCCCTAGGCTCTGTGGTTTAACCTACAGTGCCACCCGCGTCCCTCACCCCATTAGTTACATTGCAGTATTTCTGGTTTTTCCATTACGGTCATTAGCTTCATAGCATATTAGGTGGCGGTGGGGGAGTAAAATTGGCTCATGCCTCCGGTTTTGTTCTTGTTGATTTACCCCTTTGTTCATCCCCTCTTTTTTGGTTTGGTGATTTCCTGGCTCTGACAGGTAAAGTGGGGTGGGGGAGCAGGAGGAGAGAGGAAAGCAAGGCTCCGCTTTGCCCTGAGTTATCTGCTTGTCCATCGGCCAAGTACTAGGTATTTAATAGTTGGCAAGCAGATAGCACCAGACACTTTGATGGAGAGGCTGGGAAGGGAAGCAAGCCAACATATTAGAGGAGCTTATTGAGTTGTGCAAGGAAGTTTGGTAAATGCATTTAAAGGGGGGGAGGGTGAGTGGAATGCACTCAGGACAAAAGGAGTGTTTGGAGATTCCCTTTTTAAATTTATTTTTACTTTTTAAAATGGGGATTGGGGACGGGGTCCTCCAGATGTTGGTGGACTCCAGCTCCCATCAGCATGGCTGATGGTCAGGGATGATGGGAGTTGTAGTTGAGCAACATCTGGAGGACCAAGGGCTCCCAAGCCCCTGATCTAAGGGCAGAGCAAATCTGCCAAGGATTCTTGAGCTGTGGTTCCTGCATTGCATAGGCTTGGACCGGACGGTTCTATGTATTTGGCTGCAGAAGCAAGGGGTGGTGGAGGACCAGAGTTTGTAAGAGCCAGCATGGTGCAATGGTTAGAACCTTGGACTAGATTATGAGAGACCAGGGCTCAGACCCCCACTCAGGCATGAAGCTCACATTGGGTCAAGTCCCTGCCTCTCAGCCTGACCTATCTCTCAGGGTTGTTGTGTGGCTACATGGAGAAGCAGGGAAGAAAATCGTTTTGAGTTCCTTAAAGGTAATAATGCTAGTTAAGGATCACAAATTAATGTTTCTCCTGAACATGTGCAAAAGCATGCAGGGTTAGAGATTTGTAGCGAAGAAGTGATGACAGAGGAAGAGTCTCATTAATCACTTCCTCATCTGGGATGGCAGAAGACCATTGTCTCAGAGGATGAGTGCAATTGAAATCAGGTTTTAAATATTTTTTCTGCTGCATACAACAAGCTTTACCTGGAATAGTTTCACTTCTTACAAGAGTTACATATATATATATATCTCACCCATCACCACCATCATCAATTTGTTATGTTAAGAAGAGGAAAGCCAAGAAGCCCTCCAAGTTCTCAGCTCATTAACTTGATTTATACACCTGGAGCTAAAAGTTCAGGCAGCTGAAAAATCTGTTATTTTAGGGCCCTGCTTTTCGTTTGTTGAAGCCAACTGGTCTTTTCTTTTGCTTTCCTCTGGAGCTCTGGTGAGTCATGTTTACAGGGTGAGTGGGAGGTTGAAATCAGCTGGGAGTTGACAAATCCTGTCCGCACCAGGGGTGCTTAGCCCAGCCTTATCAGTCTCAGGATTAGGCAGTTGAAGAGGGTAGTCTAGTAGGGTAAATAGGGTGTTGCCCCACCAACCCCAGTTTGCCCTCAGCTAGGCCTGCCTGCCTTCTTCCTTACAACCACTGAGAGGGTGTTCTGTCTGTCACCAGCTCTGGCTCCCCCTACTGTTCGTTTCCCTGCCTTCCACCCTATCAGTCGCAATGAGCATCTGTCACCACTGGGATGACCCTGGGGACAGTCGTAGGTGGAGCCCATAGCCTTGGGTCTCCTAATAGTAGCTTGGCTAACCTCTAGCTAGCTAGCCACAAGCTGTGTTCCCTAACACAACCGCTCTCCCTCTAAGTCCCCTGGCAGGTGTAGAGGCAGTTGGAGAGAGGTGAGATCTCTCTCCTCTGAGTTTACAGGAGGGGAGTGGGTGGGAGAGGCTCCTGCTGTTTCTTGTCCAAAGCACATAAAAATATCTCTCCCTCCAGCCCTCTGTGTGTGTGCCAGAGGGCTTGAGAAACAAGCAGTGGGGAGAGTATCTTATCTCGCTCACACTGAGCTTTGGAGAAGGTGAGAAACAGAGGAGCTGGTTGGGGAGCAGGAATCCTGTTGATTCTTCACCTCTCCATTCCAACACACACTCTTTGAGTAGATCTACACATTAGATCAGCAAGCATAGGTCACAGGATCATAGAATTGTAGCATTGGAAGGAATCCAAAGGGTCACCTGGTCCAACCTCTATAACTGCAGGAATCACAATGTGGGATCTCCCTCTTTATTCCGCCCCGTCCCCCAGAACCCTCATATCTGCCAACTAAAGTAAAAAATGCATACCCTTAGAATGAAAGAATTCAGAGCCCAGGAGTTTGCCTCAAGTAGGGATGTAAGCAGATAGCAATTTCCATCCTGTCTTGCTTTCTGTTCAACCAGCGCTGTTTCCGTTCCGCTACAGTTCAGCTTTTGCTGAAACCTAAATGATTCATCCTGCTATCCACTGTGGCTGAAACTACTCTGATTAATTCCATAATTGATTCCAATGCATTTCAGTGGAAGGGAAACATCAAAAACAAAAGGGGTTTGGACTAGGTTATCTCAAAGATTCCATCCAACTCTAAACTTCTGTGATTCCACAGTAAGTTTTGGTGTGATCTCTATGGCTAAACTATGGAACAGACTTTCACTAGTGGCAGTGATGGCAACCAACATGGGTAACTATGAGATAGGATTAGACAAATTAATGGGGGAGAAGGAGGCTATTGGTATGCTTCTTAATTCTAGTTGTTGGAAACCATAGAAGGGGAGAATGCTGTTGTGCTCAGGTCCTGCTTGTAGACATCCAAGAATAGGCATCTTGATGGTCACTGTGAGAATAGGCTATTGGACTAGATGGGGCATGGTTCTCCCTTCCTTCCTTCCTTCCTTCCTTCCTTCCTTCCTTCCTTCCTTCCTTCCTTCCTGGAACCCTTTTAAATGTAGCCTCTAATTTTCAACAACACCCCTTACCCGCAGCTCAGAGTGGCTTATGCAACAATTCAAGAAGCCAAGCAATGTTGAGAATGTGCTAATTAGTGATTATGTGTGTTCTGAGAATACCCAACAACACAGCAAGTAAAACTAATGAGGGGCATGGCAGAAAGGGAGGCCCCTTTCCCCCCTCTGCCCTCCATCCGTGGGTCCCCTTCAGATGCTTTGGAAGCTGTGTGCATTCCAGCCACCACTGCATTCTTCCTTGCGGTTGTTGAACTGTACTTACTCTGCACAATGTCAAGCTGAAACAGGGCTCCTTGATAGCGGCACTTTGTCTGCTTTCGGAGGAGAAGCTTTCGCTGACAAGCAGTGTAAATGGTTGCAACAGCTGGCAGGAGCTGCGCAGGTGGGCCCTGGTCTCCAGAAATGTTTGAACGTTGACTGATTTTGGTTGTCAGATGCAGATGATGAATGCCCATGTTGAGAAAGCAGGAGCCAAAGCAGGCCTTGATATTTGTTGCATAGAGGCCCAACTGGAGTTAGGGAAGTGCAGATCAGGGCTCCTTGGCCCTGGAGTTGCTGTTGGCATCCATCTGCCTCAAGAGACAATGGAGTGCACTTCGGGGGGGGGGGGAGTCAAACCACTGCATTAGCAGTACCGAAGTGACCTCCCTGGGGCACAAGCCTGGGTGGTGGGTATGGAGGTCCTGAGCTGCCTAGACAACAAGGCCCCCTCTTAGTCTCGCTGATGTGGTCCAAAGGAAAGCGTACAGTGGTACCTTGGTACTCAAATGGCTTGGCTCCTGAACAAATCAGCTCCTGAATGCTACAAACCCAGAAGTAAGTCTTCTGGTTTGCAAACAATTTTCGGAAGCCGAACGTCCGATGTGGCTTCCACTTGAGTGCTGGAAGCTCCTGCAGCCAATTGGAAGCCACACCTTGCTTTTTGAATGGTTTCAGGAGTCGAATGGACTCCTGGAATGGATTAAGTTCGAGAACCAAGGTACCCCTGTACATCAGGCAGATAGCTCAGTTGATTAGAGCGTGGTGCTGGTAATGCCAGGGTTGCAGGTTTGATCCCCATATGGGACAGCTGCATATTCCTGCATTGCAGTGGGTTGGACTAAATGATACTCAGGGTCCCTTCCAGCTTTATGAATCTATGATTCTACATATCAGTCATGCCTGAAACGGGAGTTACCTGTGTGTGTGCGTGCGTGTGTGTGTGTGTATATAATGTATATATGTATATGTGTGTGTGTACAGTCATACCTTGGGTTGAATGTGCTTTGGGATGAGCGCATTCGAGTTGCGCTCCACAGCAACCTGGAAGTAACGGAGCGCGTTACTTCTGGGTTTTGCCGCTTGCGCATGTGCAGACACTCAAAATGACGTCACGTGCATCCGCAGACACGCGGACACGGGTTATGTTTGCTTCTAGATGCGAACAGGGCTCCAGAACAGATCCCGTTCGCATCTAGAGGTACCACTGTATGTGTGTATATATATATATATATATATATATATATATATGTGTGTGTGTGTGTGTGTGTGTGTGTGTGTCTAACTTAGATTCATGAATTTCAGTTGGTATACTTTGAGTAAGGCTTAGCTGGATAGGACCCTTAGTTTCTACTCGCCTCTCTAAGCAAGACACATTCAGAGTTCGAGGACAGGTTCCAATTGGCCATGATATGAAATAGGTTTGGACGCGGGTGGTGCTGTGGGTAAAAGCCTCAGCGCCTAGGGCTTGCTGATTGAAAGGTCGGCGGTTCGAATCCCCGCGGCGGGGTGAGCTCCCGTTGCTCGGTCCCAGCGCCTGCCAACCTAGCAGTTCGAAAGCACCCCCGGGTGCAAGTAGATAAATAGGGACTGCTTACTAGCGGGAAGGTAAACGGCGTTTCCGTGTGCTGCGCTGGCTCGCCAGATGCAGCTTGTCACGCTGGCCACGTGACCCAGAAGTGTCTCCGGACAGCGCTGGCCCCCGGCCTCTTGAGTGAGATGGGCGCACAACCCTAGAGTCTGTCAAGACTGGCCCGTACGGGCAGGGGTACCTTTTTATGAAATAGGTTTGGGCCTGGGGAGACTCCTGGGGGCTAGATGGAGAAGGCTGGAGGGCTAAAAGTGAGATTCTGTACCCCTAGAACAGGACTAAAGAAAAGAGCAAATCTTAGCATTGTGATATCTTCTCTTGCTCCTTGATCATTTTTTTGTTTCTCCCGGGGTCTGTTGACAATATCAGAAACCTCCTCTAAGTGTAAACGTTTCCATGCTCCAACTCACTGCTGTATGCTTGGCAGATGGGCCTCCTTTTAGGCTGTTTGCAAAACCTGCGCTTACTAAGTCATGCTAATATGGCAGGTATTTGCACGCATTCCAGCGCCAAAGCGCAGAGCCTACCAGCCACCACCTTCTGCTTATCCGGAATGAATATCCATATGTTGCTGGCTGTTAAAGGAGAAATGTGCACCTCTAGCCATAAGCTCTGACTTCACTCACTCCTGGGCGTTAGTGAATAAGATTCTGCTTGGGTAAATGAAGTTTTGAGTTGATTCTTCATTGTTGGGTATCAAGACAGAATATAATTATGCATGGCATGGAGGAAGTGCGTAGAGAAAAGTTGTTCTCCTCCCATAATACTACAGCTTGGGGGCATGCAATGAAGCTGAATTCTGGAAGATTCAGGGCAGGCAAAAGGAAGTACTTCATCACATAGCCCAGAGTTGAAATATTCCCACAAGAGGTGGCTACCAACTTGAAAAGAAGTTTAGACAAATTCATGGAGGGCTAAGACTGTGCTCTATTGTTGGAGGCAGTGGGTGCCTGAATACCAGTTGTTAGAAACCACAGGAGTGGAGAATGCTCTTGGTTAGATTACTGCAACACATTATATGTGGGGCTGCTCCTGATGATGGTTCGGAAACTTCAGCTGGTGCAGGATTCAGCCGCCAGGTTGCTCACCAGGTAAGATGGTTTGAGTCAGTAAAGCCAGTCCTGGCTCAGCAATGCACGGCTGCTGATTAGTTTCCAGGCCCAATTCAAAGTGCTGGTTTTGACCTATAAAGCCATAAATGGCCCAGGACTGCAGTACCTCAGGGACTGCCTCTCCCCAGTGGAACCGACACAGACCCCGCAATCATCATCTGAGGCCCTTCTTTGTGTGTCTCCTCCGTGAGAGGTCTGGAGGTCAGCAACATCAAAATGGGCCTTTTCTGTGGTGGCTCCCCATTGTGGAATGCTTTCTCCAGAGAGGCTCGCCTAGCCCCTTCTTTACATATCCTTTTCTCCCAGGCCTTTGGCTAATTAAACGATCCATGACTTTTAAAACCGGGGTGAGGTGAGTTACTGTTTTCATTTGTTACTATGATATATTTTTGTGTTGTTATATTGTAAACTGCCCTGTGATCCTCAGATGAAGGGTGGTATAGAAATAATAATAATAATAATAATAATAATAATAATAATAATGCTCAGGTTCATTTTATGGGATTCTCAGCAGCATCTGGCTGGCCACTCCCAAGTCCATGTATACAATATTCCTTTCCTGTGACAAGAAGCTGGTGTGATGAGTTTGCAGCCTCCATTATTTCTTGGATGGAATACGATCTGGTGTAGGATAGATTTTCTGCACATTCGGAAGACCGCCAGTAATAATAGTTATAGTTGTCAGCTGCTGCTGAATCTCCCATTGCCATTTCATCTGGCTTCATGCAGGCCAAAGAATTTGATATCCTGACCTCCCCTCTTCAAACCATGGGGAGAAGAAGGGGCCATTTATGAAATCCCAAGCCCCCCACCCTGACACACTCACCCCAGAGGTTTTTTTGGGGGGCGAAATTAAAACCTCCCTCTGTTCTCTCTTTAAAAAACTGAATTTTACGGATAAGGACATAGGAAGCTGTCTCATATCAAGTCAGACCAGTGAGTAGTTCATCCAGCTCCGTATTGCTCATGCTGACTGAAAGGCTTTCAGGCAGGATTCTCACCCAGCCCTACCTGGAGATGCCAGGAATTGAACCTGGGACTTTCCGCTTACAAAGCAGATACTCTACCGTTGAGCTAAGTCCCTCCTCCAAATTGGAATGCTGGACGGGATGGGCATTTAGGGTGGAACTTAATCTTCTGGAGGACTCTGAAATCTCAGCATGAGCTTTGTTGGGATCTGGCATGGTTTGGCAGCCCCAGGTGGATGTGGACAATAAGGAGAGATATGTAGCAGGCTGTGTGTGTGTTAAGGTTGTCATCCAGGGTTGGTGGACAAGGGTTCTCCACTTTTGATGCCAAGTATCAGAGATGGACAGGGACACGGGTGGCGCTGTGGGTTAAACCACAGATCCTAGGACTTGCTGATCAGAAGGTTGGCGGTTCGAATCCCCGTCATGGGGTGAGCTCCCGTTGCTTGGTCCCTGCTCCTGCCAACCTAGCAGTTCGAAAGCACGTCAAAGTGCAAGTAGATAAATAGGAACCGCTCTGGCGGGAAGGTAAACGGCGTTTCCATGCGCTACTCTGGTTTGCCAGAAGTGGCTTACTCATGCTGGCCACATGACCCGGAAGCTGTATGCCGGTTCCCTCGGCCAATAAAGCAAGATGAGCGCCGCAACCCCAGAGTTGGCCACAACTGGACCTAATGGTCAGGGGTCCCTTTACCTTTACCTTTTATCAGAGATGGACAAGCTGATCTGCTGGCTCTCTCCATTGCCCTTCGTTCAGAGCCCCATTGGGGAGTGCAGAAGACCTCAGCCAGCCTGGGGGGGGCAGGGGCTGAGAAAGAGGCAGTGGCAGCAGAGCCAGAGGGGCAGGATGCAGCCTTGTCACCAAGAGCCAGGTGTCACTTCTGCAGCTGGGATCAGGCACATGTGCCCAGACGAAGTGTGCGTCTTGGCACAACTGGCATTCCCGCAAAGCAAGCAAGTCTCTTTTGAAGCTGGGCAGGAAGGGTGCGATAACCATTGGGACATCTTGGTTGCTTCTCTTCAGTCCTGAACTTCTTGCTTCATTTGTATACTTGAGAATCATGACTTCTGGTTCCCATGTTTGCTGCTGCACCAGTATTGGTTAGTACCCCAATAAAGATCTCTTTCTTACTCACAAGGAAGAGCCCTGTGGACAGAGGGGGCTGAATTTGGTCCTGGCAGATTTTTGATGTGCAGCAGCCATCCATCCATGGGTTCAATCCACAAACAACCATGCCTGTATTGTTCTACCTTAAAAACTCTCATTTGCTTCCTTGATCAGACTTTTCAGAATAAGTATGCATAGGCACAAGGACCAGGGCAACAACATCTGTATTTTTGTTCTGATCCCCTCCCCCTGATGTTGCAAAATGTCCATGTTTGTAGCCCCCTCTCCTATGCACTGGTGGCTCCAGAGCTAGCCAAAGTGCCTTCTCTTTCCCAGAGAGAGCCGTCTGCGAACAAATTCCTGTCCTGCTATTTTTCCACCAGCCATCCCCTCTGCAATCTCAGCCCATGTACTTCGGAGAGCCGTTAGCTAGCATTTCTGCAAGAACATCTCTTGGCTCGGAAAGCACTTTTGAACTTTACACGCAGCTCATAATTGCTGGCTGCCTGCTGTCTAGTGAGAATGAGTATTATTACTTTTTCCCAACATTATGAGAGAAGGGAGGGGGGAGTCTATAGCTGCCTAATTATTTTGTTATCATCCCATTGGGAGCCATTCAATTTCCTGCCAGTTTCCAATGTGTGGCTGTGCCTTTTCCTCTTTGTAACTCAGCCGAGGGATTAAGGATAAGGTTATATGTGGAGGTTTTTATAGTTCGATGGATTGAAACATGAGGTGTGCAAGAGGAGACCTGTTGCTGACAGAGTGCATTTGCATGTTGCAAATAAAGAGTGTTGTTTGCCCTGCCAGCCAAAGGGCAGGTGAGCATCCTTCCTGATTTGCTTGCACAGAGCTTACTTGGTGCTTAGCTTATGCCTGGTCTTTATTGAGCATTTGTACCAATTAATTAATCAATCAATCATTTATTTATTATTTATTGCATTTATATCTCACCTTCCCTCCAAGGCACTCATGGTGGTCTACATATTCTTCCTCATTTTCCCCATGTCATCATCACAACAACCCTGTGATGTAGGTTCGGCTGAGAGGCAGGGACTGGTCCAAAGTCAGCCAGTGAGCTTCATGGCCAAGCATGGAATCTGAACCCTGGCTGCTGAGGTCCTAGTCTAACTCCCTAAACACTGTGTCACACTGACTCCTATCCTATTGGGGGCTGCCTGCTGACAGTGGGAGGGGCCAGAGCTGTATGTGGGCGGTGCCATCCCTTTTCTGTCTCTCTCTTTCTAAAACACACTTTCCCCTCCCACTCCCTCCCTGGCCAGAGGGTTTCTAGTCACACATCTTTGATGAGAGCCAGTGTAGTGTAGTGGTTAAGAGCGGTAGACTCGTAATCTGGTGAACCGGGTTCGCTTCCCTGCTCCTCCACATGCAGCTGCTGGGAGACCTTGGGCTAGTCACACTTCTTTGAAGTCTCTCAGCCTCACTCACCACACAAAGTGTTTGTTGTGGGGGAGGAAGGGAAAGGAGAATGTTAGCCGCTTTGAGACTCCTTCGGGTAGCGATAAAGTGGAATATCAAATCCAAACTCTTCTTCTTCTTCTTCTTCTTCTGGGGGGAGAACAGACCACACCTGCCAGATGTCTGAACCAGTCGCTTGCAGAAGGCTTTTCAGATTAGGCAAAGAGTCGCATGTGTCATAAGGATGGGGTGGGGAAAAGCCTCAGGCCCAAGGGCCAAATGTGCTCCACAGGCCTCTCTATCTGCCTCTTGGGACTCTTTCAAGGCCACACCCCTTCCTTGACTCCACCCCTTCTCCAAAAGCCACTCCCCTCACCAGCCCAACACCTTATCCTCCCTGACTGTTTTTCCCCGGCTGGAATGGGTTCTTGAACTCTCACCTGGATGGAGGATAGAGGTGTTTATGTGTCTCTACTAAGCTGCTGTAGAAAGGTAAAATTGGCATCAATTACTTCACCCACTTTTGCTTCTGGCCCCACCCACCACTGGCATGTGGCCCCAGAAAATTACCTGAAAGGCTATGCAGCCCTCAGGGCAAAGAAAGGTTCTAGGGTCACCACTTGCCCATTCCTGCTTCAGTAATTGTGGGGTGGATTTTAATAGGTAGGAGAGCATGTATTAATTGCAATTTATCCCTCCAGGTGCTCATGTGTGAGGGTTGAGTATACAAAGAGCTTACACTTTATTTAAAATGTGGGGCAGAGCAGAGTTGCAAGTCCCATCATAGGAATAGGCTGTGAAGGCTTCTTTTAATTAAGTCCAACTGTGAAGCAAGCTGGCTCCCACTTTCTCGCCATGCTTCTCAGAAAACAGGCTGAGAAGTAAGTTTAACTCATAATCATGCATTCATTCTCAGCAGCAACAGCAGTAAAATAAATGCAGGCAAAATGCTTATATTTACAGTATAAACATCCTCAGGCATGTAGCTGGTGCTGGAACAGTTGTATCCATCGCTGGTCAAAAAGAAAGAGAGAGAAGGAAGGAAGGAACAGGAAATATTTATTTGATTCTTCCTTCCCAAGAGAGGAAGGGAAATGACATCACACAGAGCCTTCTCTACCACTTACATTTCTATGGTTTGAGTCTGCCTATCAGCAATGTGACCGTGTGGTCTTACCCCCTCACATGCTAACTCACAAGAATATGCCTTGTTAGATTTGACTGCAAATCTCCCACAGTAACTGGTGTGCTGCCGGTTGCCAGCTGTCAGCCTGGGTTTGGTTCATTTGCGCATTGATGCACTTGGAGAACTCTCATAAGAGCAGCTAGGAGAGGAACATGAATAGAAATGGAAAGGAGTGCCAATGGGCACAGGAAGATGCCAACTCCACTTCAAGACCAGTTGAACCTGTCTTTTCACTTTACAAACCCGCCATGACTTTGTTGAAAGTGTTGGGATGCAACTTGGCTTGTCCTGGTGGCTGATGTGTCAGCATGGAAAATGGAGAGAGAGAGAGAGAGAGAGAGAGAGAGAGAGAGAGAAGAGGAACCGCCAAGCTTCCTAGACTGTCCTTTTCCCTGTGCTGACCTCCCTTCCTTGTAGGCTTGCCAACCTCATTTCCGACTCCCTTCTACTCCGTGCCCCACCTTGGGAGAGGAGGTGTCAATTTTGGATGTCTGTCCATCCAAGCTGCAGGACAGGAGCAAGCTTGACTTGTTGCCTCTTCTCCTTAGTTAGAACTCAGATCTTTCTTATCAGGCATGCAATTCCTACAGAAACAAAAACAAACCATAGCTTTCTTGTTTTCTCCTAAACTCAGAATCTCAACAGGATTATATCCAGGGCAAAGTGTGTGCCTTTGACAGTGACCCAGTGCTAAGTTCATCTTCTGCTAATGCAGAAGTTCAACTCCCAATGCCATCATGCTTCTCTCCCCAGAATGATGGTCTGCGACTGCCAGTCGGAGCTTGTTAGCAGTTCCCCAGTGATGGTGTTTCAACTGATTAATGTCCTTATGGGAGTTTCAGACCCAGCAAGTCAGCAGCATCAGGGGAGCAAGAGGGCTGGGTGATGGGGAGGATGGCAAACTCTGGCCGAGTTTCTGTGGATGGATTTGTTTCCAGCTTTAAAAAGGATAGGGTAGCAAGCAGTGGGAAGGCTCTCTTAACCTTTCACACTGTGAAGAGCTGCCGCCGCTTAGAATAGGTCAGGGGTGCAGAGCCTTTGACATCCCAGATGTTGTTGGTGTCCAGCTTCCATGGACCCCTGCCAGCCAGGAGTCAAAGATGGTGGGAGTTCAACAACATATGGAGGTCCACAAGCTCCCTGTTCCTAGAATGGACAATATACAGTGGAGGCTGGTCCATTAGGATGAATGAGGCACTGCCCCAGCAACCTTATTCTGCCCTTATCCAGCTCCCTGACTTTTTGCTGACAGCCAGCCCAGGGTGGAGCACTGGCAAGTAGTTTTCTCCTCCTCTGTACTCTGCGGAAAGGAGGATGGGGACAAAAGTAGAATTACGGTAATTGGCTCTGCTGTCATTGGCCCAGTTGATTGGGAGGTCTTGTGCAACAAACCCTCCCCCC